GTGACGTAGGTATGTGGGGGCGTGTTAGAACGAGCCGTTTTAGGTAGGTGTGGCTGACTCTTAACTTTTATAAAGAATATCTCTTTGGATTTGAGACTTTAGTCTTTGCAACTTTACAGATCTTCTTTATGCACCAAGAGCTTGTAACACTCCAAAGAGAAAGGAACAATTGAAATCGCATCATATGACCCCTTTAATAAAAAACATTATAAATTGGTCATTATATTGGTCGTTTCCTTTCCAAGGTTATTCAAACAGCGAATAAATTATTATACAGAAAGTGACATTATCACTAACTTTGATCTATCGCGAGTTTAAGCACTCTCAAAAAAAAAAAATCTTTATAATAACTTAAGCTGTCTACACTGTGAAATGAATCTCTTACTTACATTGTAGGCTGCATACATCTGCGCGTCCGGAATTCTGTCAGCGAACGCGCGCGCACTCAAAACTGATGAGTTCAGCGATGTCTCATCTGAACGCCTCTGATTGGCCATTGCGTTCCTAAGCTCAACTGAATCGTGTGTGATTGGTTATAATGCGCAACACTGTAAAAACAGCAAAAATGAAATACGGTGCAACATGAGCAGATCTTAATTTAATGCCGCAATCGACACTTTCGATTCATTTTCATTTTGTTAGCAAGTTATAATAGATTTAATTTTTTTGTGCAGGGGCATTTTTGCCCCAACTTGGCTAAGCCTTCCCCAGCCTTACACACGCTCCGCCTGTGGATGAGGTCCTCAAACTCATGATTTGACATCCTTTACCGACAGCTTGAGGGGTTTTCTATGAGGAGAAGGGGAACATTATAGATCAGAAAAATGATCAACATTAAAAAATAAAAAAAAATGACTAAATAAATATATTAAGAATCTCAATTTATTATTTATTAGAGATTATTTTATTATTACAAAAAATATTTGTATTATTTACGCAATGCAAAACACTGTGGATATTTACATTATATTAAAAATATTAAAAATCATATTTAAAACCAGTTTTTTATAGTTTTAATAAATATGTTATCATATAAATATTATTCAATGTTATATATAAATATACAGCAA